CTTCCAGCTCAATCACTTTATCTTGTTTCTGGACATGGTCTAATATGGTCATCTGCTTCTGTTTTTGGGGCATATTTAGAAGTTATCTGTGGCCTTAATTGCCTCCAGGTAGAGGTGATCAGGAGATGGGCATCCCTTCTTCCTGAGAAATTTCAAGATGCCACTGTTGGTCATTGTGGTGTAACTCATGATTTAATTTTCGGCCTGTTTCCTTTTTAGTCTGCCTGTCCCACTCCACAATCCCCATGCAGGCCTTTTCCTAGTGATAAACAGTTCTGGACTGGCTGTGGCCATTTCACACTGCCGTTTGGTTTTAAGTGGAAACTGTCACTTTAAATTTTGAGGCAATCTGTGCACATGCGTAGTAGAATCCTCCAGAGATGGGGATGGGGTGTCCACTCACTCAGGCCCCCCCTCTAGTCATCAGAATAGAGTTGCGCAGAAAGTGAGAGCCAAATGAACAGATACCAAGAAAAAGAATGTCCACACCTTTATCTCTGCAGTTCTGTCAGGTGTCCATGGCTCTTTGATCCTAACCCCGTTTAGTCTCTCCCAAGATGGCAGCTCCGGGAACAGCTGAGCATCTTGAATAATAAAGCAATGGATATCTTGCTTCTGCTATCAATTCCCCTAGCTCTAAGCCTTCCAACCTTCTAAATATTCCTTTATATGTGGTTCAGTGTTCTGGGATCATGCCCTGAGTCTGCTTGGTCCGGTATTCTGTGTTGTTGCTGATGGAGCTCTTCATTGCACATCTGCCTTCTCCGCCATCTTATCTGTTCTCTCCTATGAATCTTTCAAAGTCGTTTTGTATGGTTATGAGACCCTCTTTGATTGTATCTCCTGTTCTGGTTGTGAACTCTTTGTGATTCACACATCTCCAGGGTCTGTAAATTACTCACTCATTTCCAGCACAAGTGTTTCTCTTACAGGCAGTGCCCTGTGCTGGGGATTTAAGGGCAGAAGCAGTCATACACTTGTTATTTACACGAATAAATATAAAGCTATATGGTGGAATACAATACTGCACAGGGAAACTTGTGTGTTTAATGGAAGCCTTTGTTTTTTTATGCTGGAAGATTATGGCTTATTTCAGAAGTTGCATGTTTTGGAAAAACTTTTCAGCCTCACTGAATTTGATTTTTGTTTGTACAGCGATTGTGACCGATGTTTTCCAGGGGTCCATGAGGATCTTCACTAAAAAGCTCCCCCATCCTGATCTGGTGAGTGGGTGGAACCCGAGTCTTGGTGTAATTTATGTTGTCTGAGGTGTTTAGAGAATTGACAAGGTCCCTTGCCTCTGGAGGAGTTCTACAAGACTCCTGCCAAGTGACAGTTTCCTTAGGTTCCGGTCACTGCAGTGTTCTCTAGTTGGGGAGTTTACTGGGAAGAATGATTTTTGGAGGCTGATTGAAGTCGGCCAGCTTAAGTGTCTGACCACTGGGTGGTGCTGGTGTGTCAGAGGCTTAGGGAAAGCTGTCTAGATAGACATCCTGTAAAGATTTACAGCCTGGGAAACACTGTACAGGGTCGCTATGAGTCGGAACCGACTCCACGGGGCACAGCCACACAAGCAAAATCTCTCTGAAGATGAAGACCATCTGTTCCCTGTGTTAATCTTAACTGGCTGGAACACTGCTACCTGTCTTCAGTCACTTCAGTATAAAGTGAAGTGACCGTGAATGCAGCACAATGTCGTTTCTTCCCACCTGCGTTGGCCTCCAGGCTGCTCACACTGCTTTTTCTTCTTACTGATTCTAGCCAGCAGAAGAGAAAGAGCAGCTACTTCATAATGACGAGTACCAGGAGACGATGGTAGAGTCCACCTTCATGTACCTCACCCTGGACCTCCCTACTGCCCCCCTCTATAAGGACGAGAAGGAGCAGCTCATCATCCCCCAGGTCCCCCTCTTCAACATCCTGGCCAAGTTCAATGGCATCACTGAGAAGGTAGCTCATTTACCCACCTGCCCTCTGCTACCCCTTTCTCTCTTGCGTTTTGATTAAGAACACATATATGTAGCGCATTTATTAGCAATTGCATTATCTTTATGAAGCCTCCTAGACTCCTGGCTATTTTTAGTTGGTTGCCTTCTGTTGTAAATCCATTATATCCCTTTTAAGTTCTCTGCCTCTGGTTAGTATAAAGAAAGGCTATATTTTGGACAGTAGAAAAAATAGAGAAATTCCATCTTAAAAAAATTGATATGCTGTAACATCTATATTGAGAAAAATTCAGGACAAGAATGTAAATTAATAAATGAAGTCATTATTCTTACTATAATTTTAACCTTTATCAAGTTAAAATAGCATTTTATCTGCTGAGTTAACTGTTATTTAATTCCCTTTTTTATCCTACATAAACTTAATCTTTTTGTTTTTTTCCTGGAAGACTTATTTTTTCTTACTTGATACCTCATTACAAATCTTGTCTGCTCCTTCTTTTTATTCATAAGGCTCTTTTGTTTTTAGATGTTAAATACCAATTAAAACTGTTGTTGTTAAGTGCCATTGAGTCAATTCTGACCCATAGCGACCCTGTATAGGGTTTTCAAGGAGCAGCTGGTGAGCTTGAACCACCAAGCTTGCAGTTCAAACGACTTTGCAGTCTGATGCATTAACCCACAGCGCCACACCGGGACTCCACCAGTTAAAATTAGCTAAATTTAAAAAGGGACTTAATTGGAAAATTGAGCTGACCAGATCTTGGGAAGGCAGTCACTATTGTGATTCGGTGCTGAGAAGTGGTGGTCTGTTTGTTGACGTCTTTTGTGGAGTCCACCATTGAAGTGTTTTCAGCTTCTGCCCCGCTTGTGTCTCTGTTCTTGGGAGAGGGTCGAGAAGTCAGTTTGGATCAGGTGTCCTCCTCTGTCAAGGACCCTGTGAATGGGGTCTTTCCTTGAGAAGGGGGATCTGTGAGGTGGGCATTCACCCCAAGAAGTATCTAATACACCCTCTACCCTTAAACTGCCATTACTCTTTCCATCTCAGGCTCTTGTTGAGTGCTGTTGTCATTGTTAAGTGCCATCGAGTTGGGCCCTACCCATAGTGACCCTGTATAGGGTTTCCAAAGAGCGGCTGGTGAGCTTCAACCACTGAACTTGCAGTTCTAACGACTTTGCAGTCCAGCGCATCAACCCACAGCGCCGCACCAGGGCTCCTGAGTACTGTTAACAAGCACAACAAGGCTTGGGTGACCATGCATTATCCTAGATAGTTAACTGTGATACCCTGTTTCTTTAACCTGTTTCATTTTGTGGAATGAATGCGACCTGAGTATTTTTTAAATCATGATTTCAATTCCGTAGCTTTTAACAAATCCTTTTTTCATTTGATAATTTTGATTTTCATATAGAACATCATATCCATGTTATTTTGGTTAGCATTACAGTGAAATCATGTACTGACTGGAACATAACCCCTGGTTGAAGTAATTTTATTAGCTTTAGCCAAAATGTTAATCCTAAACCTTTTACATGGTTTCCGGGGATCTGGTGACTTCTGAATTGTAAGTGCAAGGCAAAATTACATTAAAGAAAGCAACAAAAACCCAAAACAAACAAAAGACCTCATTCCTCTGTTCTAATTCTTCCTGAACTCTAGTGCTAATTTATGAATTTTCTTTTCTCTCTAGGAGTATAAGACTTACAAGGAGAACTTCCTGAAGCGCTTCCAGCTCACCAAGCTGCCTCCATATCTAATCTTTTGTATTAAGAGATTCACTAAGAACAACTTCTTTGTGGAGAAGAATCCAACCATTGTTAACTTCCCTATTACGTGGGTATCACCCTGCTTCAATTTCCTCTTAGGGGGAATGGGCCTGCATTTCTTTTCATATGTTTCATATTATTAGTTTTGGATTGTCTGTGTTTGGGATGGCAAAGAACAGAGCCTACCCTTTACTGGAGTTACAGGTTCTAATTGAAAGGAGACAGATATTTCAAGGACCCCAAAGATGTTTACCTGAAAGCAATCTCCCTTTTACTTTCTGTCCTGTTGTTTGTTGGGAATTGTAGTCTTTTGGTATAGGGAAAAACAACTGATGAAGGAGGGGTAGGATTCTCCCTGGCTTACAAGACTGTCCCGAGCAGACAGGTGTATCCATTATCTACCTTCTTGCGTACTCTGGCCAGGCATAGACATGGGAACCTTGTTCTTTTTTGCCTTGGATCAATCTCTTGTTTTTTTCTCCCAGAATATTCTCAGTTTCTGTCTATTGACATACATTTTCATGTATGTTCTTATTTTTAATTTATCATGCTGTTGTCTTTTTATGAACATTCATGGATATTTTAATGGGAAATTGAGGTGAGTTTATCATGTGCTTTTGGTTTGCTACCTTCTAACCCAGAATGTTCCTGTAAGATCCCTTTGAGGCAAAGACAGGTGGTTTACAATTCTCAAGACACAGTTCTTCACAGTTGAAGCATTTGTCTGGGAGAACAGAGCTCTGGTGGTAAAGCTGGCCGGAAGAAATGCGGGGCTGTGTGGAAGGTTAGATGTGCTGAAGGGAGAGCCCTAAGTTTGCAAGTGAGAAGGATTTGAATGGAAATGTGATGGGAGTAACACGGTACTTGGGTATGTGTTTTCCTTTTTTAAAAATCTTTACAAAGTGGTTTGAGAGCTGTAGTGGACAAACGCTTATCTCGTCTTTAATTCATCCCTCTGCCTCCCTCCATCTTGCCAGTTCTTCAAACTATTCCAGGACTGCCAATTTTCTCCTTAGAAAACAGTTTCAGTTCTTAATTCTCTATAGTGTTTAAGGGTGTTATCTCTAAAATTAAAGTGGTGTGAGTTCTGGACCTTCTTTGTAGAAGCTTGGGCATATGTATTCTCTCATGGATGGAAAGAAGGGTTTGGACTAGGTAAACTCTTTAGGGTTCTTGCAGGTACAATGGTTTATTAATTCTAGATCTCATGATCATGAAGAATCTGAGAATAGTGGGTGGGATGGGGACAGGAGGGAGATCTTTGTAGTAAATGTTACATGAGAATTACTTTTTCTTTTCCCACTTTTCTTCCGGTTCTTGTTTTTGTTATGTACCGTTGAGTCGGATCTGACCCATAGCGACCCTGCATAGGGTTTCCATGGTTGTAAATCTTTACGGGGCCAGAAAGCCTCATCTTTTGCCAATGGAACAGCTGGTAGTTTCGAACTTCCGACCTTGAGCAGCCTGACTCATGTGAATTTTAGATTAGGTGACAATATGATATGACCTGATCAGAAAAAAAAAAAATTTCAATGTAACAAATAAACATACAACTCTGTTCTGACATCATTATGTAGCTAGCCTTCTGTGTGTTGGTGATAGCTATTTACTTCTACAGACTCAATCGGATTGCCATATAGATTCACTGATAATTTAGGCCTGAGTCTAAAGAAATCTGCACGAGCTCTACAAAGCCCAACTGTCTGTCAGCTGCTAAAAATTGACTTCCCACGATATTGTCTCCTAAACTTTAAAAACAGCTGTCAAGACTTGTCTGAACAAGTCCTGGAAAAGTCTTCAGGAGTATTTACATTCAAGTTTTCATGAGCTACCCAAAACAGTTAAAGTGGCAATGGGAATGAATATAATGTTTAATCACTTTGTTTTAGAAAAAAGCCAATCATATTCATCGCCCAGTCAGAACAACTACCCAGTTTAGAGGACAACTCATTAGCTGTCATGTTGACAAGGTTTTCTTTTTTTTTTGGTGGGTGGAGGGGAGTAAGGAGTCTCATTAGACTTTAGGACTATGGCTGGGGCCTCTGCCTAGCACTCAAGCTACCTCCCTGTCTTATCCTCTGAAGCTCAGAGCTCCTCGGAAACCCTATGCAGGGTTGCTATGAGCCGGAACCAACTCCACAGCATACCACCACCTTTTGAATTTTTGGTATGGGTTACATCTCAGTGTAAAGAAAACAAAAATCCTTACCACTGGACCAATAAACAACAGTCTTAGCAACGGAGAAAAGATTGAAGTTGTCAAGGACTTCATTCTTCTTGGATCAACTGTCAACACTCACAGAAGCAGCAGTCAAGAAATCAAATGACATATTGCGTTAGGCAAATCAGCTGCACAAGACCTTTTTAAAGTGTTGAAAAGCAAAGATGTCAGCTTGAGGACCAAGGTGTGCCTGACCCAAGCCATGGTATTTTCAGTCACCACATATGTATGCAAAAGCTGGACAGTGAATAAGGAAGACCGTAGAAGAATTGATGCTTTTGAGTTATGGTATTGGAGGAGAATATTGAAAGTGCCATGGGCTGCCAGAAGAACCAATAGATCATTTTGGACGAAGTGCAGCCAGAGAGCTCCTTGGAGGCCAGGATGGCTAAACTTTGTCTCTTATACTTTGGACATATTGTCAGGGAGACCAGTCGCTGGAGAAGGTTATCATGTTTGGTAAGGTGGAGGGTCAGAGAAAAAAGAGGAATACCCCAATGAGATGGATTGGCCAAGTGGCAGCATGGATGAACTCAAGCGTGGTGACAGTAGTGAGGTAGGCCCAGGATCGGGCAGTGTTTCATTCTGCTATGCATAGGGTCTCTATGAGTCAGTACTGACTCAATGGCACCTAACAACAACAACAACATACTCTGGTAGCATGAACTGACTCCATGGCACATAACCAACCATACTCTGGTAGCGTAGTGTTTACAAATCGGGCTGCAACCCTCAATGTCAGCAGTTTGAAACTACCAACTGTTCTACAGGAGAAAGATGAGGCTTTCTGCTCCTTTAAAGATTTATAGCTTCGGAAACCCTGTACAGGGTCGCTGTGAATGGGAACTGATTCTACTGCACACCACCACCACCACCACCACTTTACCTGTTCAAAAGTATAAGTTTTCAATGTAAACCTTGTAATAGTGTTTTATATATATATACATTGCATGTCCCATTTCAAAATAAAAATTTCCACGTAAACTGTGTAGTAACAATGTATATGTACACATTTACACACACATGTGTATGTGTATATAGGAAGAGTATGTAACATTGTCTCTCTTCCTCTTTTTGGAAGGGACCACTATTAATTGCTTTCTTGTGAATCCTTCAGATGCAGTATTTGTTTCATGTTATGAATGATAGCACATTAGATAATTTTACAGAGATTAGAAGTATCTCTTCATTTTACAAATAAAATATTTGTTGACTAAAAAAGGCTATATTTTTGTCTAAAATTACATAGTTAACATGGTCTTTTAATATTTATGTTAGCTGTCAATTTTTTTCCCTATTTGAAAATTCTTTACAATTTTTTTAAATTATATTTTTGGTAAATGTTTACACATGAAATTAGATACTCATTTATCATTTTCGATACATATTTCTCGTGGAGTACTGGTATGGTACTGTGGGTTAATGTGCTGGACTGCAAGGTCTGTTTGAACTGTAGGGTCGGCGGTTCAAGCTCACCAGCCACTCCTTGGGAACCCTTTACAGGGTCACTGTGAGTTGGAACGAGCTTGATGGCACTACCAACAACAGCATACTGCTCAGTCACGCTGGCTACAGTTCCCACAGTGTGTCAGCATGCTCATTTCTACTCTTTTCATTTCTCTAGCTTTGTGGATCCATTGCACCTTCTTGTCTTTGCTTTAGGGTAAATATTGACCTTTTGGTCTCACATAGATGATTATTTAAAGGAGAACTCACAAGTGATATCGTTTACCTTATGAGCCATTGTATTATTTGACTAGAAGGTGGCCACCGGGTTTAGGTTAAATTCCAACTTTAAAGTGTGCATATTGTCTTAGGGTTTCATGTAGTCTCTGCTGATGCAGTAAGTCTGACCCTTTTTAATAAGGAACACAAAAAAGGCCCCATTCTATCTGTGACCATCTACTGTGTCCTTGGTCAGAACAGTTAGTAGTAGCTAGGCACCATCTAGTTCTGGCCATGGAATAGATGGAGGGCTGTGCTTCTGTATGAGCCACTGTCCTGTAGACTAGTGTCTTCTGTGAATTTTTGGCTACCTTCTTTTTTGCTCCAGACAAGTACAGACCTATAGTTGTATCTTAAAAGTAAGCTTGTATCACTAGCAAGCTTGTAAGACTCCAGATGCAACTCATCAAACTAAGATGTAGAAGAATAACTGTATGCCAGATCACCAAGATGTCTCCTGAAGTTATGTCATTAGCCTTCAAACCCAGTAAACTAAACTCATAAAGTGTTTAGTTATGTCTAGGAAGTATCTGCACTTGTGACCCTAGTGTGCTTTATTATACTAGAGAGCTTCATAAAGTCCATGGAAAAATTTGTTCTTTCTTTAGACTTTGTATTATTGTGAATGGTGTTAAGGTTTACAGAGCAGATTGTTTTATATTCAGCAAATCATATAGTTTGCTTCATTGCATTTGCAGTCCCCTCTCAATCAGCTAACAGTATTTACTTCTATTCACTTTAATGCTTACATTCCTCTGCGAACTGCCTTCTTAACTGTATTGCCTACCCTGTTTCTCATGTTAACATTTGTCTGTGCTCTAGCTCTTCAATACGTTTCCCCCTCACCTACCCTCTTTAATCTTCATAGGATGTTTCTTTTATCAAGAAAATCTTTTACAACAATGGTCTTATATAATATTTGTTTGCACTGAGTTAATTTTGTTTGTGGGTTTTCTCTCCATTTTCATTTTTGTTGTGTTGATGTTTACTAAGTCTTTATGATTTTCCTGTTTTTTTATTGTGATGTAAAGGTGTGGCACTGTAGAATAAGCACTGGACCACATGGTTGATTTGAACTGCAATGTGGCAGTTCAAATCCACCAGCTGCTTGGAAACCCTAT